TTTACAAATACATAAATACAAATTACAATAAAATTATACAGAAACGCTAAACACCACCACATACGGCTCAACACTGGACGGTCAATGTGCGTGGTCCCACTCAGTTAGCGACAACTAGTGCGACGTAAACAGCTGTCTCTCTCTCTCTCCAACGTTTCCTGTATTGACCTTGCTAATATCAACTGCAGATATCCGCTCGTCACGCGCGTACATTCGCCATACAGTAGTTGACCTAGAGAAACGTACACCCGACAGCAAGTTCCAATCTGAACCCCGGCGTCTACAGCGTGCCCCAGTAAAACCTGCAGAAACTTGACACTACGAAGTTACGACCACTCAGTGCGCCGACCACCACACCTCAGCTAGGTTGTCTGAAGGCGATAATGAAAAATAACATTCACAGCAAAAATGCCTGCATTAGCGTAGTACACGAAATGGCCTACAATAATCAAATTCCCTGACTGCAAAGCTTCAGTCAACAAACCGGTTAATACCTACAGTTTAACACCACCCTTTAAAAGTCAACAAATTTACATTACTCACTTGTCAGTTACAACACAATGCGTTTCACACGACTTGCACAGGCTTCAGTTCATAACTTGATAACTGCCTGCAACGCATGGCTATGATGGCAAACCACTACCTTCCGCACATGGTATTTAGTATGCTCACTCGTCGCTGGTCCCCTGGCAAGTGACTAGCCAAATCCGTCTTTCCTGTCTCGATGTACGACCCCAGGTGGCCATTTGCTCAGCCAATCAAATTGCATTCCTACTCCACCAGGCGCTATTTAACTTAGCACAAGAACGACTGCCACCAAAATGTGACAGACATGTTCTCGATAGCCAGAACCAAACTACTCTTTTGTGGGTTAACCGTGTTTTGTCTTATGGGTGTGTGTTGTGTTGCTACCACAATGTTCTTGTAGAACAGTGGAGCTATTTCAACATCAGGTCGCTTGCTTGTGAATATTTTTGTCATTTTTGCGAAAAATTTCTTCTTGAAAACCACTAGATACTTGAAATGTAGAAATCTTTGGGATTTTTATGTCACAACAATTGCAATCGCCATAGGTAACAAACATATTAACTGTCATGGTTGTGATATAGTAAGAACATTGTTATAACAGTAACCATGGCAAAACCTTTTGCTAATCTGTCGTCTCAAATGATGGTGTCACTCCCTAATTGCCAATCAAAATGCTGCATGGTGCCAACATGTTAGAATTGAACTGAGCATTGAAGAGAATTTAACACTTTTTTACAATAAACGCTCATGCGATACGATATCCGCCATGTTTTTTCCATACACACATAAAACTGCAATCTTAGAACTGATAGGTCAGGTCGCTAATTAACCAATCAAAATGCTGCATGGTGCCAACTGAGCATTGAAGGATAAATTTGAATTTGATTTCAGGATAAATTGGATGAATTAGAAGATAGAATGACGGAATATTATGCTGCTAATCCTAGTGATGTGTGTGGTACCCCTGTTATTGGTCAAGTGTATGCCATTCTCTGTGAAGACTCCTATTACAGAGTTAAAGTATCCCAAGTTACTGCATCTGAGGTAAGCTTTTGACAAATACCTGAATTATGATTATGTACATCACTGGCCTTATCTTGAAACACAATGCTTTTGTTATTAGTCCCCGTTCGGATGAAGTCCGAAAACTGGGACTCATAATTCGGTCTCCGTTCGTCCGTCCGCCCATCCGTCTGTTCGTTCGTCCTGAGTCGTATCTCAGAATCCCTCTGACCGATTCTGTTCATTCTTTGCATGTGCCTAGTACTTTATGTGGGACATATGCACATGCAGTGGTTTAGCGATTCGATTCAAAATGGCCGACTGGCAGCCATCTTGTTTTTTGAAAATGTTGTATTTTGGACATGCTTTGTCAGTTGTCATTCAAACTTGGTACATAGATTATACATGTTAGGATACATGTCCATGACGATTTATTTCGCAATTGGATCAAAAATGGTCGACTGGCAGGCATCTTGTTTTTGTTTTTTTATGCGGTATCTTAGACGTGCTCTGTCAGTTTTCATTCAAATTTGGCACATACATGTACTTTATACATGTTAGGATGCATGTCCATGACAATTTGTTTCAAAATCTGGTCAAGGATGGCCGATTTATGTACCATTTTCATTCGTATTTGGCACATACATCATACATATCAATGTGTTTCATAATCAGATCAAAGATGGCCGAATAACGAGTGTTTTTATTTTTGGCCATATTACTACTACACGGAACACTTGTTTTGATGTAAATAAACAATCTGTTGTATACGCCACTTGGAACTCAAGTTTCAAGGACACGCTCGCGACAACCCCTCCGCTTTAATATGACGAGCACAAAGAGAACTTTCAAAAATTTAATGGGGACTGTGTCATTTTCAAACACTTGTTTGAAAAAAAAAGGTCATTGTTTATACATTTTTCAGATATAATGCAATGGGCAATATGCTTCTTTCAATGTTAAAATTATAGTTTCGCTTAGAGGTCATTCTTGGTTAAAGTTGACTCATTTGATTAATATTTACTCTATGCCTATCTTATAGTAGCACAAATGAAAAAAATGGGTTTGATGATTCAATCCATAAAATAATAGAATGTTCGGGCATTTTACTCATTATACCAAAAACATATAAACAACTGTGGCAGTAAAAATTTACATACTAATTTGCATAACATTTGCATAATTATTCCATTGTATTGTGGTATTGTGATGGTTAACATGAACACTCAAATTACACAATGCCCACAATTATTCAAAACTACACACACATTTTCAATTTCTCAAAATCTTGAGTCAACCTGGAATTCCCCAAAAATCAAATTGAGTCATCTTGTTGACTGCAGGAGAGGTCTGTATTCGAGAAAAAATAAAATTGTTTGTGATGCAAAGAAATGTGTTGTAGCCCCTGATTCCCTTTGTTTTTTACACTTATTTTGTTTGTAAAATGCAAATTTCATTTTACCAAATAAAAATAATTATATTTACAGCTTTTAACATTTCCACATTCATACTTAAAAACTCTATTGCAGGTTATTTGTGATTTTATGGACCATGGATCTACTGAGAAAGTTGATAAATCTAACCTTAGGGAATTGCCACAAGAGTTTATACAGTTACCATTCCAGGTAAGAAGTCATTAATTTAATAATATCAATTACATCACTTGATACAAATCGGTGACTTTCAAGTGAATGGTCCTAAATTATCAACTTACATTTCTAGTGTAGCACTAAAAACTATAATATTTTAAATGTATTTATTTTGATTGCAGGGAATAAAGAGCAGTTTAGTTGGCCTTGAAGAGTTTTCTGAGAACCCTAAAGTGTTGGAGAAACTGATTGACATGGCTCTTGGGACAGTATTTGTTGCTGCTGTTGTCAAAAGGTAAACAAATATAAAGACATTTTGCATATAGTCACAAGTACTCTTCCATTCACTGCGGCGTTCCTGTAACCTTGCATTAACTGCGGCGTTCCTCTTGCATTCACTGCGGAGTTCCTCTCACCTTGCATTCACTGCGGCGTTCCTGTAACCTTGCATTCACTGCGGCGTTCCTCTTGCATTCACTGCGGCGTTCCTCTTGCATTCACTGCGGCGTTCCTCTTGCATTCACTGCGGCGTTCCTCTTGCATTCACTGCGGCGTTCCTCTTGCATTCACTGCGGAGTTCCTCTTGCATTCACTGCGGAGTTCCTCTCACCTTGCATTCACTGCGGCGTTCCTCTTGCATTCACTGCGGAGTTCCTCTTGCATTCACTGCGGAGTTCCTCTTGCATTCACTGCGGAGTTCCTCTTGCATTCACTGCGGAGTTCCTCTCGCATTCACTGCGGCGTTCCTCTTGCATTCACTGCGGAGTTCCTCTTGCATTCACTGCGGAGTTCCTCTCACCTTGCATTCACTGCGGCGTTCCTCTTGCATTCACTGCAGCGTTCCTCTTGCATTCACTCCGGCGTTCCTCTTGCATTCACTGCGGCGTTCCTCTTGCATTCACTGCGGCGTTCCTCTTGCATTCACTGCGGCGTTCCTCTTGCATTCACTGCGGCGTTCCTGTAACCTTGCATTCATCACCACGTTCCTCTTGCATTCATCACCACGTTCCTCTTGCATTCATCACCACGTTCCTCTTGCATTCATCACCA